ATAGAGGCACTTTTCCTGATGAGCAGACCAATACTTGTTGGGACAATGGGTTAGAATATTTGAAACCAAGAATGACTCAGAAAATACAGGCTCATGCACTACTGTAATTATAAACTATGCCCCAAGTGTATCCAAAGGCCTTTGAATGGTGAATAGTAAATGTTCTTCATATTATATTGTTTTAGAGATAATTGTTCATGCATATTTAAGTAAGTGTCATAAGTCAATTTTGCCTGCATTAATTGAGAATATTTTGGAGTGCACAACCCAACTGAAGTTTTTCCTTCTAGTTTACTTTGAAAGGAATGCGATGCTAATTCTGGGGCATTGATGGTTTACAATGCCTGATCAAGACAAAAAAGTGAAGAACACAGAGAAATCAGCCGATAAGAAACAAGGAATCACCACCAGGTAACTCCATACTGAGTCTTTGCTAGGTATTAATTTGGGCAGTGGCCAGCAACCTAGATCTAATGGCTTTTTGAGAAATAGAATAGACCTTTGACAGCTACCACCCTGGGTTACGTTTGGGTTCTAAAATGTTTGATCATTTTTAGAATTCTAAGGAAATGTTTAGCTTGGATACTCCGAGTGGCAGGGCTACTGTGTGTAACATGACTAGTTCACCCGGAGTCTTCTGTTGGTTGACGTTCTGTTATTCTCTCTCCTAGGGACTATTCAGATCTAAAAAGACTTCGGTGCCTTTTGAACGTTCAATCAAGCAAACAACAGGTAGTGTTTTCAAAGAATGTGCTTGCTTTACCAACAGAGAAATCATATGTTTTCAGAGGGACCCATTTAGCATCTTTATGAACCACATGCCTGTTTTTCTTTGTCCTTTCACAAGTTTTGTCTTTCTTCATCCAGCCGTTTCTCTCATAGCTGGTTCATATTCTCCCCAAAGTCTGCATCCACAGCCTTTCCATTCTTTTCCTCTCAGGCCTGGGCCCTGCTTTAGTCTATGCTCGGCACCACGTGTCCTAAATTAGCAAAGCTCTTCAGTGTGGAAGCAGCGTACTCTCCTGTTGCTTGCCGGATGTTTGACTCCGCAGAGCTTTGGGGAATTTGATTTCTCCCAAACATGTTCACATTTCCCTCCTTTTCCCTTCCTACCTCTCATGCTGCTCA